GATAAACTATAACCCCAACCCATGGACCAGTAGTTTTTCTATGAGGAATTGGATTAAAGGGTTGTACTTGAATGTCAAAATCAGATATCAGGGGATTTAAGTGAGATTCAGTTATACATAAAATATCAATATTTTCAAACTCGGCTTCAATAAGTGCGATTTTATTTCTTAGATATCGTACATTGAGATGAACAAGAATTAAATGTTGTATTGGTCCAGGATTACTTTCAATGTCATAACAACAGGATAAGACTATAACATGCGAAACAGGAAAGTAGGATGTATTGATAAAATCGGTAAACACATCGATTAATTGTAAATAAGAGTAATGAAAGCCATGACATAGCCTCATCAAAATATTTTTGCGCGTAGAAAACTGCCACTGATCCAACGTTACCATAGTCCAGAACACATAACATTGTCGGTGTAGAAAAAGCGGGCAAGGTCAATCATCCAGCTGTTAAAATGTCTTCAGGCAGGACATATGAACAGTAGTTGAGCAAGAATGTGAGATAACAGCAAAACAGACAGGACAATACAACTTCCATACACCCACTCACAACAAAACATACAAACACAAAAAATGTCATGTTATTTACCGGATGCGGAAACGACTCATCAATGTGCTTGAGATGCTTGAAAGCATAGGTCTTCGAGTAATACATATATAATACATCCAGCATTTTATAATACACTTGCAGTGGTCATTAATATCAATACAAAATATAAATAAGCAGGAACGATAAACTATTAAAAATAAGAATGTTATGATTGATTAAATAAACATACCAATAGTGAAAGTATAAGAGAAAATATACACGTGAAATATCTATGTTACTCCACAAGGCCTTTTGATCAGCATATTGCCTGCATTTGGCTATACTGAACGAAAAATACAACTAGAATATCATTTGTAACAATTCACACCCACGCACATGTAGTCGTCTTTCAATTGCGAGTTTATAGAGAGAACGGGCTGTTTTTATAAATTAAATCCAGCCGATCGTCAATAGGTAGAGACACGTAAAAATATCTTGGTGTTCGTGTTGATTTCACGTGTATTTCATACGTGTAGCTGGAAAAAAAGAGTATAGGAGAAAACAGATGTGTAGTTGCTTTGAATTATATATGGAAGTGATAGGATTTTGATATTCAGTTGAACGGTAAGCTCCAATTAAATACGTACGTGTACATGAAAAAGTCTAAAATATACGTACGCATACGAAATACTATAGTTCAATGCCAAGCGTAGTTCTTAGTGAGCACATAGTTGCTCATGCATGCAAACATATAGTGGCAGTAGGGTTGAGATTGCATGTGCCCAAGAAACTAAAACTGAAGTTATCAATTAAAATTTAAAAAAAGGTACTGGATGAATGAGTTTCTTTCTTTTTCCAACATTACACCATATACATGTAACTGTACATAGTGAAGTTTAGGAAGAGTAAATAAGATGATATATATAATTTCTTATGCTAGACGTTCAAAATATTAGCATAATGGTTGTTAGAATTTCTCATACTCTTGCAGGTGACATGTCTATGATACCATAGGATATAAATCCTATATTCTCTTGGGTCTCTACACGTGCATAGTAATCTTTATATGCTTATTAAATTGACATTAGTTAAAAAAGGGTTGTAACATATATAGTTATATATGTAAACACAAAGGGCATGCTATCCGAGAGTGACTCAGTATTATATGCTCAAATTATGTGGTATACATACAACAATAGCATATATGACAAATAAGTCATAATAATAATTTCATATAAAATATTATGTATAATAGAATAATTTCATACTGAATGTTCATAACAAATAATGCATGTTATAATATTAAGTTATATATATATAATGCATGTGGAACATTTATAAGCAGTATCATCATGAGCAAAACATGATAAGATCACTGATTAGATGCACATGTATCAATAGATTCATATTATATTACTTACAGAATTATTTTTTCATACATTTGTATATAGATTTCTTTATAAACAAAGATAATTGCCTAATGGCTGAAGTGTGTGTTAGTGTTAATTGTAACACTGTTATAACAACATAATTGGCCAATATATGATCATGCTGTGTGTGTCTGTGTGTGTGTGTGCGTGTGCGTTTTACGTTTATCTTTGATACGAGCCGGATTTGAATGATATACTAATAAATAAATTGCATCAACTTTACCTTGTAAGTTGTATATCTATAAAATGACCCGTAAAAAGAAAGCTACGCCTAGTCTTAAACTTAATGATTTGAATACCGCATAATTGTCGGTGTGCAATTCTGATTTTATGTATGTGTACATCAATGATTACTCTGAAAGGGCATGAAGCTGAAAGAGTGTGTGATAACTGTTTTCTATTTTCTTTTCAACATTTTTTGATTTTGATTACTTTGTGTTTTACGCCATATTAAAAGCTATGGTTATTTGAGATCGTACCAGGTTGTGGTGGTGGCAGAAAGCCGGAGTTCCCGGAGTAAAACTACTGACCAACGGCAAGTACTTGGCGACTGCCCCACGTAGGTATCGGACCAGCGACCAAGTGTTGGGGCGCTAGTGGTAGCAGAATGTTAGACACCTTAATTGCTTGGCCACCGCGTCCCTTTTTAAAAACAAAAATAACAAAAAACTAGGGTTGTCAAACCAGTCAGCAATTTTGGTAACTGGTTACTCGTGCAAACTTTCGATCGAGTAACCGGTTGATTGGTCAATTTGGTAAACAAACAAAATACATCGACACTACGTTATATACATAGCAAATATTTTATTTCAAACCTATTTACACCACATACATGCATTATATATAAACTAGCATGATAATTGACTCGTGTATTTTAAGCTCAACGCAGGAAATAGATGTATGTAACCTCAGTAAATATTATTCATGGACAACAAATGTCGGAATGCAGTGAGGCGGGAATTAATTACAGTTATCTGTGTACGAAATTATATGCGATAATACTGTTCTTAAAAGAAATGATTGTCAAACGTTTTAAAACATAATTGCTCCTGCAAGTGTGTAATTTGCATATTATCAAATCATCTCGCATGTAAGTCTGGCTTCGTTTTAAAGTCTGTCTACTTTTTTATGGTGCTGGCGGCATTTCTACAAATACAAAACGAACATGTCAGTCTGAACACTGCATTTTTCACGAAACTATCTGTCGAGTTTCAGTTTCAGTGTGTTAAGTAAACGCATCAATTATCTAGAAGTTTTACGATAAGTATAGGATTTACCTCCCTTGTCACACGTTTCAAGTAGATAGGTTTACTTTCACTTTCGGATTTCCCAGCATGCTCTTTGAGTAGAACAAGGAATATGGCGCCTGTACGGCAAACTTGGACAAGGTTTAAGAACCTAATAGGAAAATTAAGGCCACCACAGAGTAAGTTTATTCCCCTCTCCATGATATTGTGAATTTATATTGTATGTAGATACGATTTCATCCATTTGGCTATGACCTATAATCGGATGTACTATCATAATGTCAGGATTTTGTGTGTAGACACATTTCGTTGTGCACGTTATGATAGAGTACGAAACTTATCGATGTGATGTATGTAATAAGTTGTTTTGCCAAATAAGCAAAAAGGGAATGATAGTATGGCCTTAGAGACAAAGCATTATACCATGTTCATAAAGCATTGTATCATTTGTATGTAAACTTACATCATTCTTAAAATACATTCAGGACACGGTTATTATGTAATTATATGTAGGATGTTTCGGAACCTTGATAGCATGTATTCATGGAATGTTTGGAATGTTAATGCGTATTTCAATATTTCTTAATACTTGTTTGTATTTGTATTTCAGCTTTCTACCTTCCCCAGGGAAGTTTGTAATTAGGAAAAATAAAGGTGTTTTTGAAGAAAAACAAAGGTGTTGGACATTACAGTAGAAAGTCTGTCGACATGGACAGTATGAAATTAGGAGTGGAAGGCCCCCGCATCCGAAAACTCGCAGAAAAGGCACAACCAAATTATCAACAATTTGTTGGATCATCTAGCAGTACACTATCTGTGTTACGTAGAGAAATAGATCAGATCATCACAGAGATAGGCAAAGAGACAGATCAAGGGCAAGACACTGAACATTTAAGGCAAAAGCTTATCAAGGCTAGAGATTGTTATGAACCTAAAGTAGAGAGATTTATGGGATTTTTGGAGAGGACAAGAACGAGAGAGAGTTACAATGAGTTGGCCTCCCAACAACTCATATCGAGAAGTGTTTTGGATAGGATAGACCTAACAATTCAAGGCTTACATCAACAAAAAACCGTGCATACTTCAACTTCAGATGAAAAGGTTTATCAAACCTCTCCATATGTCACAGGACATGAACATAAAGTAAAGGATGACGAGAAGGCTAAAACAAACATATCAAAAGGCTTAAAGGCTCCTTCGCAGGTGATGTCATTGAGGTCTAGGTCCCACCATTCAAGTAGAACATCAAGTTCAACAGCAACCTCAGTTTTGATGAACCAGAGGGTTAAAACGGAAGCTGCAAGGGTAAGATGGCAGTTTGCTGAGGAAGAAGCAGCTATTCTTAGACAGCAAGCTGAACAGCAGAAAGAAAGTGAAGACATTAAGGTACGTTTAAAATTGCTTGAATCAAAGAGGGATTTAAAGGAGGCAGAGGCTGAACTCGGGGTAATGAAGGACATGGTTTTATTTGACGACAAGTCTGAAGATGGGGATCTAAAAGTAATATCGGAACAGCGTACTGAACAGTATGTAGCAGATTTATCTCCAGTGACACCTGATCAGCAACCTGAGGATACTGCCCATACATTTAGCTTACAAAGAACCCCAAAGGTACACAGACACTTTTCCATTGTTCCAAGTGCAAGTGAGCTCGATATTGGGACTCAGTTTAACCCAGAAACATGGCCATTCCGTCCAAGACATGGCCAGGAATACCATATACCCCCTGATATTCACATACCTCAACCCAATCACCAGGAGTTACAGAACTTACAAAATACATCATGAAAAAGGACTTGATTTTATCTCGACTCTCCCAGTTCAATGACAGGTCAGAGAGGTATTTTGTGTGGAAGTCAAGTTTCATGAACATCTCTAAAGAGCTAGAGGTAAACCCTCCTGAGGAATTAGACTTATTATGTCGGTGGCTTGGCCCAGCATCATCCATACAGGCCAACAGTTTGAGAGCTGCTAACTATTCTAATGAGGCAGAGGCTGTGAGAAAAATATGGGACAGACTTAATGAACGGTATGGAGCCCCAGAGTTGGTGGTACAAGCGTTTCATCAAAGACTTGAAAATCTTCCAAAACTGGCCAATAAAGACTGTGTGAAGATATATGAACTCTCAGATCTTCTCACAGAGTTGGAATCTTTAAAGCTTGATGAGCTTTACTCTTCATCCCTAGCTTACTTGGACTCGTCAGCTGGGGTCAACCCCATTGTAAACAAACTCCCAGGCTTCATGCAAGGAAAATGGATAGATCGTGCTTTGAGATATAAGAGAGAACATGGCGTACTCTATCCACCATTTACGTTATTTGCTGAATTTGTCNACGAGCATATGAACTCGGATGTATTCCAGACAACTCTGCATGACGAGGAGATTGGTTTATCCCAAGAGGACAGAGAATTCTCAAGGATAATGAAGAAAGGATTTACAAGGTCAGTTAATGGAAATTGGAGTGCCCCACTACCTTTCCGTAAGGGTCGTAAGAGGCTACCGAACAACTATCAGCAGGCTCGGCAGAGAGCTGAAAACCTCGTGAAGAGTTTGAAGCGTGACCCAGTTAAACAAGAACATTTTGTCCAGTTCATGAAGAAAATATTCGATAACAAGCACGCAGAGGAGGCCCTACATGTAAGGGAGGAAGAAGAACATTGGTATTTACCGATCTTTGGGGTGTATAACCCTCAGAAACCGTCTAAAGTCCGCGTGGTTTTCGATTCCTCGGCTAAGTACCAGGGTTTATCGTTAAATGATGTCTTGTTGACAGGCCCAGATTTGACCAACAATCTGGTTGGGGTTCTGTTGAAATTTCGAAAGGAAAGGATTGCTGTAACTGCAGACGTAGAACAAATGTTCTTCAACTTCGAGGTACATGAAGAACATCGTAACATGCTACGCTTTCTTTGGTTTAGGGACAATGACCCAGCGAGGGAAATCACAGAATACAGGATGCGTGTACACGTTTTCGGCAACTCACCATCCCCAGCTGTCGCTACACATGGGCTACGCAAAGCAGTGTGTGATCACGAGGAAAATCGCAGTCGTTGCGATGAGGTTTGCAATTATGTGAGAGAAAATTTCTATGTGGATGATGCCCTCGTGTCACGTCAACATGAGGAGGATATAGTGAATCTCGTAAAGCAGACACAGGAAAGACTGAAACAAGGCGGAAATATTCGACTGCATAAGATTATTTCTAACAATGCAAATGTCGTCGCAAGTTTCCCATTGAGTGACTTAGCGGAGAATATGTCAGAGTTGGACTTCACCACAGGGACTTCTAGTGTTCATAGGAGTCTAGGATTAAGCTGGGATGTCACAAGAGACATCTTTACTTACAAGGTTTCAGAGGATGATAAGCCCTACACTAAGAGAGGTTTACTATCGACAGTACACAGTATATTTGATCCTCTCGGGTTTGTGGCCCCCGTTGCACTCGGTGGAAGACTGTTAATGAGAGAGGCTATTCACAACAATGACATTGGTTGGGATGAAGTTTTACCCTACAATGTTGAAGGTTCCCACTGGGATGAATGGAAAAGGTCACTTAAAGATCTCGAAACTCTGAAGATACCAAGGATTTGTACAGAAATATCTCTAGAAGAGGGTGTGCGACGTGAACTGCACATGTTTTCTGACGCGTCAAAGGAGGCCATTGGGACTGTAGGATATTTAAAGGTCTATGATGCCAGCGGTGACTCGAGCCTTGGTTTTGTGCTTGGCAAATCCAAGGTTGCGCCAAGACACGGACACACCATTACCAGACTGGAATTGTGTGCAGCGGTACTGGCCACTGAGCTGTCAGACTTCATAACAAAACAGGTCGTTTTGGGTTATGTCAACAATAAAACCCGACGATTCCATGTGTACGTCAGTAACAGAGTCAATAGAATCCTAAGGTCGTCCTCAAGTGCACAGTGGAATTATGTACCTACCACTGCTAATCCTGCGGATCAGGCTACAAGACCAGTGAAGGCATCCGATCTTCGCAATAGTAAGTGGTTCAAAGGCCCAGTCGCCTTTCTTGACAAGGACGCTGAAAAGAAAACATTTGATCTAGTCGATCCAGATCAGGACAAGGAAATTCAACCTAAGGTAGATGTCCTCAAGACGTCAGCACTAGTGACTACAGAGAGGCTCGGTGACAATCGTTTTCAGAGGTTCTCTTCTTGGACAAGGTTGACATCAGCAATTTCACGACTCAAACAAACGGCAGCATCACACCACAAGTGTGACAATTTGGACACCCGGAACAACGTGGACTTACGTAAAGAAGCAGAACTACTAGTATTGAAGGAAGTACAAAGGGAAATGTATTCAAGCGAGTTGCATTGTCTACAAGGAAACAAGCTTCTTCCAAAAACGAGCAGTTTATTGACCTTCTCACCTGTACTGGATAAGAACGGCTTGTTAAGGGTAGGCGGGCGTCTCAAAAACACTAAGCTAGAGACCGGGGAGAAAACACCTATTATAATTCCAGGAAGTCACCATGTTGCTAAATTATTAGTCAGACATTATCACGAAGAACTTCATCATCAAGGACGACATCTCACAGAGGGTGCGATCCGCTCTGCTGGATATTGGATAACAGGAGGGAAGCGTTTAATCAACTCTGTTCTCCATGCGTGTGTAAACTGTAAGAAACTTAGAGGAAAGGTGGAACACCAGAAAATGTCTGATCTTCCATCGGATCGTCTGACCCCAAGCCCTCCGTTCACATACGTAGGAGTCGATACCTTTGGTCCCTGGTCCGTAACTACACGTCGTACTCGTGGAGGAATCGCCAATTCCAAACGGTGGGCTATCATGTTCTCCTGTCTCGTCACACGAGGAATACATATCGAAGTTGTGGAAGAGCTTAGCTCGTCTTCCTTTATCAATTCCCTACGTAGATTCATATCACTTCGAGGACCTGTCAGGGAATTTAGGTCGGACTGCGGAACCAACTTTGTTGGAGCAACAGGTGAACTTGGCATGAACACCATAAACATAGAGGATCAGGACATTGGAAGCTTTCTTGTTCATCACAAGGTCGTGTGGAAGTTTAACCCTCCTCATGCGTCACACATGGGTGGTGCCTGGGAAAGGATGATAGGTCTTGTTAGGAGAATTCTGGACTCAATGCTTTGTGAGGTTCAAGGGAAACAACTTACCCATGAAGTGTTGTGTACACTTATGGCAGAGGTGTGTGCCATCATTAACAGCAGACCTATTACTTCAGTTTCTAGTGACCCAGATTCACCTACCATTCTTTCTCCGAGCGCGCTCATCACCCAGAAAGTAAATGCGGATGAAGAACCATTTGAAGAACTTGGTATCAAAGATATGTACAAATCCCAATGGCGGCATGTCCAGGTACTGGCTGATCAGTTCTGGAATAGGTGGAGTAGTCAGTACCTTCAAAACCTTCAGTTGAGGATGAAATGGCAGCAGGAACGAAGGAATTTGGAAGTGGGAGAGGTTGTTCTCATGATGGATTCTAGTGTCCCTCGCAATCAATGGCCAGTCGGTCTTGTTGAGAGATTATTTCCCAGTTCAGATGGACTAGTGCGGAAGGCATCAGTTCGTGTGATGCGAGGCACTGTACCAGTGACATACATACGTCCAATTACGCAATTAGTGTATTTGTGTTCGGAATGTATAATATTGTGTGGTGAGTTGATAATATCAACTCAGGCGGGGTATGTCGTGTTTCAGTTTCAGTGTGTTAAGTAAACGCATCAATTATCTAGAAGTTTTACGATAAGTATAGGATTTACCTCCCTTGTCACACGTTTCAAGTAGATAGGTTTACTTTCACTTTCGGATTTCCCAGTGTGCTCTTTGAGTAGAACAAGGAATATGGCGCATGTACGGCAAACTTGGACAAGGTTTAAGAACCTAATAGGAAAATTAAGGCCACCACAGAGTAAGTTTATTCCCCTCTCCATGATATTGTGAATTTATATTGTATGTGAATACGATTTCATCCATTTGGCTATGACCTATAATCGGATGTACTATCATAATGTCAGGATTTTGTGTGTAGACACATTTCGTTGTGCACGTTATGATAGAGTACGAAACTTATCGATGTGATGTATGTAATAAGTTGTTTTGCCAAATAAGCAAAAAGGGAATGATAGTATGGCCTTAGAGACAAAGCATTATACCATTGTGACATTTGGTATTGGTGGTGTATGTTCATAAAGCATTGTATCATTTGTATGTAAACTTACATCATTCTTAAAATACATTCAGGACACGGTTATTATGTAATTATATGTAGGATGTTTCGGAACCTTGATAGCATGTATTCATGGAATGTTTGGAATGTTAATGCGTATTTCAATATTTCTTAATACTTGTTTGTATTTGTATTTCAGCTTTCTACCTTCCCCAGGGAAGTTTGTAATTAGGAAAAATAAAGGTGTTTTTGAAGAAAAACAAAGGTGTTGGACATTACACTATCCTATTTTGGTCGCATCTTTAGATGATTTGTCGGTCTAAGGAAGGGAAACATGAGGCTCCCCATAGGAGAAGGAAATATCCGAGTATTTGGTTACACTATATGTCTCGCTAATCAGAGAAAATCGGTTTTGGCATATATTGACATGAAATCAATGCAATGATTAGAATAGAAATTATTGATTTTTCAAATCGATTCTTTTTTAATAGGATTGAAGGACACGTGAAAACAGACTAAATGGATCGCTTGGCGTGTTTATGTCCATATATATCCAATACAACAACGAAGAAATGTTTTGCAGTAATAGGAACCTTCCTGCTTCTTGGTATCACTATTTCATGGTAAGTAGGCATATGTCCTCTGACCCTCGACAGGTTTATCCACAATTTTACCGATGTGAGATTTATAGATTACCATGGTGTGTGTTCAGGGTTTGTCGTGAAAACAGTTTTCTCATTAAGAGCGCATGAATAAAAATGAAGGGGACACCTGCGGTGGCCTCGAGGTTTTCGGCATATGCGAGCGATGAGAATTATTTTGTGATAAACTATATATCATCTACACTGTTATGTTATATATTGTTTCATTCATAAAAAGTCAACCGAATACCGTACTTTTCAAGTGACAACTAGCCTCAATACTAAGTAGATTTTAAGAAGCTGATATCCGTGGAGGGATTCACGAACCTAAAAACTATGTAGAAAGGATTTTTAAAACAATGTTTTTATGTGTTAAAGGAACAAGGAAAAGTTATGGAAAACGGCATACAGGCGAATAGACGAATCAAGAGAAGATTTGGACAATCCGTATTCGGCGCTCTTGTTAGGAAGTGAAATAAAATATGACGTCACTACCGTAGCGAGTAATGTAAATTCATCTGTTCCTCTTGTGGAGAACCGGAAGTACGCAGTAGGTGAACGAGCTAGAGTGCTCATCACACTACGGGATCAACTTGGAAGACGGAAAACTTCCGGGGGTGCCGTTCTACGGGGGTGGCTCCGAGACAATTCACTCAAAGCCAATGTGGCCGGGGACGTCATAGATAACGGAAATGGCTCCTACACCGGAAGTGTCCTGCTTCCATGGAAGGGTCGTCCAAAACTTTATGTTTCTATTGCAATACCGCGCGAAATGAACATTTTGATTCTCAATACGATGGTCAAAAACTCAGGATCATTTTATAAAGTAAGCGGCATGTTCAATAAAACAAGTCACGGACCATCTGAACTTACCCAGTGTGGTCCACAACCTACCACCCAACCAGCCAATATGTGTAATTTAACTCAACAGAACTACGATTTAGATTGGTACTGCAAAGCTCCAACAACACATGGAATTACATGTCAGGATTGGAAAATGGCATTGGGTGAAGGGATCACCTATGTTTCAAAGACAGATATGGAATTTATAATGTAAGTGCCATACATATTTGAGGTCATCACTGATCAGTGGAATTGTCCATTAACTTATATTCATTACCCGACAATAGTATGCCATTATCCAAATATTTAAATTAAATCGATAAGGTGAAGTCAAAGAAATAATGTGTTAAGCTAAAAACATAAGACCAATGTGAATAAGTTTTCTATCATCATAGACGCTCTAAAATCTCAGACCAAGGTGACTAAGATTGAAAGCCGATCGATGTCTCGCTCTGTTGTAGTAGTTCTTCCTTCATAGATAAACTCAGTTAGAATATGCTCTAGAGTTGGGAAGCAACTGGGACACATACACTCCATAAACACGGGAAGCTAGACTAGATCTGTTATGATTTAGGACAGAAGTTTAATCGGTCGTAAAATTACATAACTTATTGTATTTTAAACATTCACATGACTCCCTTGTTTAAAACACGGTCCCGTGTTTTATTAAATGCCGTTGTTTTTTGTCAAAGATTTACTTTATACACAAACAATGTACGTATCAAACGTGTCGAAACATTTTAAGGCCGACTGGTCCCTTTGTCAATCTATGACAGAGTGAGCGATTTGTCCTATTTACCTGTACAACGAAGAATCGTAGGGACAAGTCAGTTTAATACGCACAATAATAGCACGTTCTGTCACGTGATCTGGTTACGCCGCCACTTTTTACATTTTCCAATATGACACTTTGCAGACCGCTGCAAATAACACCACGAATGTATTTTGCTCAAGTGACCTAGGAATATACACAGTAATAATGAGATAACTTTTTAGATACTTACTACATTTAAGAGTATCAGTCAGTTTTAGTGTAATATAGTAGTACAATGTACATATATACGTCAAAACGCAGTTAATACAATTTTCAAATAGTAAAAGAAAACAATCACTTTTGCTAAGAACAATTATTATTATCATTTATTTTTTATTTTTTGTTGCTATGGTTGCTGTTTGTTGTATACCATTATATATATGCTAGATAGAAAAACAGATAAAAAATGGCACATTTAATCGCAAATTAGTTTCATACTGTCGAAAAACGCATTGATTCAAACGTAAAAACTTTACATAATGAATTAATTATTCAACGATATGTGTTATGCAACAATAAAAAAGAAAAACCAAGAAGTTATTTTTGTTCAATTAAAAGACGCGTGTAAAGTTCTTACGAATTGATTTTCTGATTTTAGAAAATACCAGCATCGGGTGCTACAGCAAACAGTTGAACTGCAAGTAGAAGGTGGTACGTATGTTAAACAGATCACTCTGAACGCCCAACCCTCATTTGTAGCATTAACATCCAGAATATCTTGCTAGTGCCAAACAATTATCTGTTTAAGCTGTAAAGTTGTAACATTATAAATGGTTTGATGGGCTCCCTTTTCACTTGCTAATGTTTGCACATATTTTGGAACTCTTCAGACATGGAGAATATTTTTTTTGACCTTAAGTACCGTTTACAAGTCCAAATGAACAAAGGGCTATAGTGTGCAGAAAGCAAAGGGTGCCACTGCATCAGTTATAATCGAAGAGTTCCACTCAAGAGTGTTTTTGACTTGGAGTATTCCGCCTTCTATTAACAGAGAAATAAACCAAAAGGACTTAGAGTAAGCAACCCTGTCAAGCTATCATAGGTTTTGCAGCCCGTATATTGGACATTCCGTTGATGCTGTGATTGGATAATTTCTGAATGGCAATGTTGGTAAAGTGAAAGTGTTGTAATGTACAGGTTATCAGTTTGTATTTTTCTTTTTCTATTTCTTTTTACAAACATTCGAATGTTTTTACTACTGCAATTCTGTGAAATGCATGGCAACATGTGGTTTTTATGAAATGTGTCTTTGGAAAAAGCAATTGAAAAATCTTTTCAAATAGTGGCAGTGGTAATACTAAAGTTCCAGTTGTAGGTATCCTCAACTTAATGAGCACTTTACATGGATTTACCTATGTTTTAGTGGGCTTTTCTTTACCTCGTATTTCTAGGGAATTAGTTAACGACTCTATACATTTTAATGTATAACTATCTTGCAAAGTCTGTAACAGTATTTTGGTGATCACTAAAATCATCTAATTTGGGATAAGTCATGTAACAAATTAACTACCAAATAAGTGATATAGTCGTTTCACAAATTAACCAACAAATCGGAGATACAGTCTGCTCACTAATTAACCATTAAATCAGAGATTTAGTCATGTTATCAATTAACAACCAAATCCGAGATGTTGTCATGTCACAAATAAAATCAATAAAATAAAGATCACGAAAAATTATCAATTTCATGAACAAGAATAACCACCATTAGTACAAAGTAAATGATTAAGAAAACCCCTTACTTGAGCAGACTTACAACCACACATTCAGTATTCGGGTCAACGGTTGGTTACATAATCATAGCAGTACATTTACATTTGTATGATTAACATCAAATGTAATGCATCAATTTCGTACAAACAAACAAACAAATAAAAAACTAAGAACAATCAGAGCAGGGACTCCTATAGATACATTTGTATACCCACAAGTATTCAAGTGTGGCCTTTGCTTTGACTTTTGATCAATCACCAATAGAATCAAAGCAGCTGTAGGATCCGATGTTACCCTAGTAGGGTGTAAATACATATTATTCTATTGATGTATTTTTGAAGATATTCTGTATAAAAGATTTATCTGAGACCTTTGACCCTTTAAATCTTACAGATGACCACGTAGAACTAATCGGGTTATAACTCGATGTATTATGGTGTAAATATGAACTAAGCTGTTTTTGGTTTTATCAGATATCTTGAACACAATATTTTGTGCTAAGGACGAACGCTTGAACGGACGCACTGACAAAAAAATGTATATACACCCCTTATCGCAGGNGGGGGGGGGGGGGGGGGGGGGGGGGGGGGGGGGGGGGGGGGGGGGGGGGGGGGGGGGGGGGGGGGGGGGGGGGGGGGGGGGGGGGGGGGGGGGGGGGGGGGGGGGGGGGGGGGGGGGGGGGGGGGGGGTGTAAATACCCTGAAATCAGGCAGGCAATATACATTGAAGAAACTTTTCTGTGTGTAGGTAGAACAAATAATATAAATATTAATATATCTACTTACAGTTAACGAGCTTATATCCCTAAATGACACACCGTGTCATATGTGGCCAAAAGAAGATTCTTGGAATACACATCCTTCCGGATTTTACTACAAAGGCAGATGGCAAAACGTACGTTGTAAAATAACCACAAATTTGCCTATCCCCAGATACAAGCGTTGCTTCGCTAATAGACAGCTGTTACTGATAGGAGATTCCAATGTTCGCATAATTGGCACGAGAATCATCAACGAAATGGAATTTAGACTTCTGAAGGGAAATGCAACTTCCAGTATTCCGCAGGACGTCCTGGCGTATGAAAAAAGCAATAACATTACCTTATCGATGTTCCCGCATCAATTGCCGTACTATGCTCACAGATCTGTTGATAAAACTGTCTTCGTTTCGGCGGCGAAGCGCTTGGATGATATTCCAGCTGGTGACAACCGTATCATTCTTATTCACCTTTGGCTGCATATGCTCCGTAGTTCCGTGGATACGTTCAGGTACCATGTGCGACATATACGACAAGCTATCGAAAGGCTCATTCAAAGGTCACCAAATGTTCACATTTCTATCAAGGGGCCACACGCCTACAACTACAAGGATCAACTACCGGTAGATTATATGGCATCACAGCACATACGAATATGGTGGGAAGAATTCGTCGATCTCCACGACAAAGTCATATTTCTCAATGAGTGGGACAGAACTGTTGGTAACGAAAACAGTAATGCTCATCCAAACTGTGCCATCGATCTCATTTCTAATTTTTTGGCGCATGTTTGTGATCCATAAGTATGACCTGTAGTACGGCCTATAGATATTCCAAGTGAAACGCTTATCATCAAGATTTAGGGTGACGCGTGCCCCTCATGCTCTAATCACCGTGGTTCCCGATGATAGGTCAATTATGCCGATCGGTCATCAGGACTCAATCACGATGGTTTGCGATGACAAGTCGAATCGCGATGAACCCCCGCGACCGGAACGTGGAGAATCACGTGATGTCAGCAGGACTCATCGGCGCTTACTCATGCGATAAGAGCCGTGTATTAGGGATGTCCATATTTACCTGTAAAATAGTCGATAAATTCAGCCGCCACCATTCAGCCATACCTACCGACGTTAATCTATGCAAATCAAGCATACTCGAAACCCAAAATAAAATACACAATTTTCTGTCTACGTCTTATGTTGTTATATGATTTTTAACTTTGAAAGATACCACAAATCATATGTTATAACTATGATACGCACGTGTAAAAAAATCAGGGCTTGCGCTGGCGGTCGCCATTGGCGAAAGTAAAACATGATTGGCGATTTGAAACTGCTCTTGGCGAAAATGTCGACGAGGGGCTTCTGTTTAAGTTACTGTCGACAATAGAAAACAAAACTTTGACGATAACTGTTTCTAGGGCAATTGTTACAGGTAAATTTAGCCCCCGGACATCGCTTGTGTACTACGATGTCACGACTGAATGGCAAGGTCAGAATATTGGAGCTCTTTTGTGGGTTTTTTTACAAAATGGTCACCTGTCAACACATCGACTCCGTCTGATACCAAAATCGCCAATTATCCAATTATGACTATATTGTCTAGTTCCGAGGGGTGCTCTGTGGGGGACGACATGATATGTAACGAATATATTAAGTCAACCATTGATTTAATGATGCCATTATATGTTGAATTATTCAACTATATTTTTAACACTGGTCACGTGCCTGAAACTTGGCTCCTGGGAAACATCATCCCTGTTTTTAAGAACAATGGTAGTTTGTATGATGCCACTAACTATCGTCCAATTACTTTGGTTAGTTGTCTAGCTAAATTGTTTATAGCTGTAATTAATGAACGACTAAATAAATATGCAGATAACGTAGAACTCATTCTCGAAAATCAAGCAGGGTTTCGAAGAAATCACTCCACTATTGACCATATATTTTCACTTCATGCATTAATTGAATTATCAAAACATTTTAAAAAACAATTATATTGTGCCTTTATAGATTTTGAAAAGGCTTTTGATAGCGTTTGGAGAATAGGCCTTTGGAACAAACTTTTGGTTAATAATATAGATGGAAAATGTTTCCGAATTATTACAAATATGTACAATGACATTAAGGCCAGAGTGATGAAAGATGGCGTATTCTCGAATGTATTCCCATGTAGTTCTGGGGTTCG